TTCATTAGCTTATTGGAAAATATATATTATTAGTTATAGAACTGACTACGTAAGATTTCAAATAGAGTCTTAGCTGAAATAATCATTAGTGATTATACTGGCATACAGTATATAGGCATTTCTTAATTTTGATATCTCTTATAGGCTCTGAGTTCCTTGGATGAAGATGATCCAAACATACTTCTTGCTATTCAGTTATCATTGCAAGAATCTGGCCTAGTTATTGACGATGAAACTAGAGACTTCCTGACTAATGAAGCTTCATTAGGAGCAATAGGTACTTCTTTGCCTACAAGATTAGAATCTGGCCCAGTAAATGTAGATAATCCAAGAGCAGCTTTAAGTAGCACTGAACTTTTAGAACTTGGTGATAGCCTGATAAAATTAAGTTCAGACAATGATCAGTTTTTGACAGACCATCTTAGTTCTCGCACTTTCAATAATACAAGAAGTGGCTTATATTCAGCATCTGGTGAATCTGACTCAGGTAGTCAAGATCTTAATATAAATGAAAATCTCCTTGGAAACATAATGGCTTGGTTCCATGACATGAATCCTCAGAGTATTGCACTCATTCCTTCCGCAATTACAGAAGCAGATGATGATTCACAGCAACCCAGTACTGAAGAGAGGTTAATGGAGCAGCCACAAGTAAGACAAGATCTTCTAGAGGAAAATGCACCTTCTGAAGAGGCCATCAAAAATGAAGGCACTCAGAGAGAAGAAGGTGCTGCTGCTGGAGACATTAGTTATGGAGAAACGGTTCCACCAAGTGAAGATGCTTCTGGAGACACTAGCAGCCAAGTTGTAAATTCAGATGTTTCGCGTCAGACATCTAAAACTTCAGCTGAATGGGCTGAACATGTGCATTTGGTATAATCACAAAAAGTCTGAAAAAACATGAATTGTTTGTGGAGCCAAAATGACTAGGCAATTACCGATGGTACAATATATAGTGGAAACTTTGACCAACGCTAGCAGAGCTCAGTTGTTTACCAGAATGGGATAAATAGAAATTTCCTTGGTGTTCTTTATGAAGCTTATTTGAACCTTCCAGGGAATTTCTATTTCATTGGACAGTAACGCGGCTTGCTTGTTTGGAGGAAGTAGAAAGCTTGTACTCCATGTTCCAAACACAATGCATTATCTATTTAGCCTTAGGCTGATGATCCTTAACTTGAAAGGAGAGATTAAAGGCTTCCTTTCTTCGTTTAAAGAAAACATTTTCTCCTTTTTCTCTCATTTGTCTTATCCTTTAAAAAGGTTTAGCACTAAAATTATGTCTTGCTTTCCCCAATTAATCAGTAATAGTATGAACTGAAGTAAAATGAACCTTTTTTAATTAGAGTAAACTTTTCATGTTTATGTACCAGTCCAGATGTGCCAAACTGAGCAGCAAATCAACATAAAAATATGCAGTATTATTTTTTATGCTAACTCTTATTTTTAAGGATGTAAAGAACACATGCACATGTACACATACAAACATAGCTTTTTCAAATTTCACTCATATTTATCAACATTATGATTGCATTAACATAATTTTATCTTAATTAAATCTAATTCTCCTATTAAAGACATTATTTTAAACAGCCAAGTTGGCTTAGTTGAAAAGACATTTTAACAGAAGTGCAATCTTCTCTATTCATTCTATGCACTATGAGTGCAGTTGCTTTGAGCAGTAACATTTTACAAAACAAACAAGTTTGCAATTTTCATAAGCTAGAAACAGCCTCCTTGCCACCGCCCCCCCCAACCAGGAAAGATTAATATCACAAACAACATGTTACTGTGCCTTTGCCTAAGCTAAATAGATAGTTGCCACAGTTAAATGAATATTAGTTATCTGTTCTGGAGTATACTATGCTATGAACTGCAGAAACCTCCATAAAACCACTCATGGCCTTTCCTTTCCACTCAGTACCTATATAGGGTATAAGCCTTCCCCGTACAGGTATAGCATGCACACCTAGAAGGGTCCCCATAGGATTCCAGAGAGCCTTATTTTTCTCCTTCTCTCCCTACCCTATCTTTGTCAGCATGCATTTGAGGGCAGTACAGCATATGTCAGTATCTGTGTGTGCCTCTTGTATTTCCATCCAGCCTACTTGTTTCACTCTGTGAAGTTGTATGAGCTTCAGCTGAAAAGAGGGAAACACAGGAATAAGAGTGTGTGTTTCCAACACAGGCACTCTGCAAAGTGGGCATGAAATTCAGCTGTTCAGACAAATTCCTTGTTTGTAGACACTATAGCTGCGCAGGGAGTATCATACCTTAAATGTTAACATTTTTCAGAAATAATAAACACTACAATGTATTCTTTTCAACTGCACAATATTCATTTAGTGTATGATTGGTGTTTCATATTTTGTAAAAAAACAACAACAACAACAACCCCCAAATCTTCCCTAATAGTGTCCTACTGTGAAGAAAAGTTTTGTTGAAATTGGCTTAAAAACATCAAAACCTCATTGTAAATTAGTGATGCAGATTGTAACTTTAACTAGAAGTAATTGTTTTAAATTACTGTTTTGCTTGCATATAATCAAAATCTAGGTTAACAGAAGCAAAAATGAATGAAACAGTCCATTTCTTTTTTGTTTGACTTGATATGAGAGATCTGCTATGTCTGATACAAAAACTTGCTACTGATTGTGTACAGTAAGGTATTTTGATGGCAAAAAAGGTATATATATTGATTACTAGGTGTTACAAAAAAAGTGTTAAATCCTTCATTTAAGCATAACTGTTGGGATCTTGCAGTCCCTGTGGCTCATAAAATTAAATATTAACTATTTAATCCATTTTTAAAAAACTCTGTTTCTTGACATTTATTTGGAAGGAGTAGTCTGCTTCTCTGTTATTATATGCTGTACCTCCATTATATTTTCTAGCTTGGCTTCTAACTGACCTGTCCTGAAAGTATTGGTGTTGAATCCCTTTTTCTAGTCTTGGAAAATTATCTCTTTAAAAAGCTATTACAGAATCCTTTCTAAGTTAAAATAAATCTTGAAAACACTATCATCACTAATTGGTCTTACACATTTTAAATACACATACAGCTTCCTTGAATTTTAATTTCCAAATAGAATATCACATGGTTTTGTATATTGCATTAAGATGTCTTGCAAAGCTAAGAGAAGATATGTATGAGTGCTTTCTGTGATGATAGTGAAGTTTGTGGGTTCTGGTTTTCTGTAACTTGGTTTAAATTGTGAAGTATACTCCATTGTTAAATTTATTCTGAGCATGAAATTTAGCATATTAAATTTGTATTTTCTTGATACTTATTTAAAATTTAACACCATCCCACTAATTGAATTTAGAATTCTGAAAGAAAGTTTGGCAAGCCTATTTTGTAAATCAATTAATTTTATAAAGAAAAACAAAACTACTATAATCTTGAAAATGGTATTTGCACTTTCATAGTATATACTTGATACATTCCCACTTTATATACAGTAGGATATTACAACCGTATAGATGTTTGGCCAAATGAATGCTATTAATAATATGTAAAAATTTTGATTAAACATTTATTACTTAAACTAATTCCTTTTATCCCTTGTATTTCTTTACCAAATATTATTTTAGATGAAAAAATGGTGTTTGGAATAAAAAAAAGTTCACAATGGTATGCAACAATTTGCTGAGATTTTCTAGTAGAGGGTTTCACTAATAATTCTTATGCTGCACAGAAGTAGTTTGTTCCTGTGTAAAGAACAAACATCATCTGCAATACAGGTGGTCCTGGATTTACAGCCATTCATTTAGTGACTGTTCAAAGTTACAACTGCATTGAAAAAAGTGACTTATGACTAGTTTTCACACATCCCCATGTCACATGATCAAAATTCAGATGCTTGGCAACTAATTTATATTTATGATGGTTGCAGCAAGTCAGGATCATATGATCACCAAAGTCAATGTGGAAGCCAGATTCACTTAACAACCATGTGACTAACTTAACAACTGCAGTGATTCACTTAACAACTGTGGTTAAAATGTTGTAAAATGGGGCAAAATTCACTTAACTGTCTCACTTAGCAACAGAAAATTAAGGCTCAATTATGTCCATAAGTCAAGGACTACCTATAAAACCAAACCAAACCCCCTGAAGAAGACATCTTCTGAATGCAGAAAGGAATCTTGAGATCAAACCCACTATTCTATATTTCAAACATTCTATAACATTGGAAATAGGTACTTTGAACAGAAATAGTCCAAAAATAACTAAGCATTTAACAGCTGAAACTCTAATGAAAATAAATAGCACTGTTAACAGTTCTGCTTAGAAAAATCTCAGTTACTTGTGCATTTTTTAAACTGAAACCAGAAAGGAATACTGATTGAAGTGCAAATTTGCCCTGAAGTATCAATCACTCATTCATTTGAAATGTTTATTGTTAACAGATCTAATAAACATTATAAGAAGGATAAATGAATAAAGTTGGTGTCAACCTTTATTCTAATGTTAGATTATAAAATGTCTTAAGTCTTTCGGAAATATTATATATATGTGGATACTACATTTGCAGGTAGTCCTTGGTTGATATGGGTATTTGAGACCAGAATTTCGGTCTAAGTGATGCAGTTGAAAAGTGCAATTTCACAATTTCAGTCCCTGATTCAGTCCCTGACACTGATCCTTAGGTGAGGAGCCAAATCAAGCCAAGCCATTCCCAGCTTAGTCCCTGTCAGCCTCCAACCTTGGTGAAGTAAGGGAGTTCCTCCTCTTCAGCTTCCCCCATCTGCCTATCTTTCCCCCATCTCTGCCACCTGTATAATAGCACTCCTTGGTGGTGGCAGCACTGGGACCTTCAATTAGCCACCACCATTCCTGGGCCTTTATGTCCGCTCCAGCACACCACCACTGCCACTGGGGAGTACTGTCTCAAGCCACAGCCAACAGCCCTCCCTATGGGGATGAGTTGAGTTTTGCACAGTGGCATAGGGAGGGCTGTTGGCTATGGCTTGAGGCAGCACTCCCTATGCCACTGTGCAAAACTCAATTCATCCCCACCCCTGCCAGCACCAGCAAGAAGTGCCATTGAGCAGGATAGTAAAAAAAGACTAAGGAGGAGAGATGGGTGGGAGAGCTGAAATGCCCCTGAAGTTGTAAACATGTAGAGGTTGTTAAATGGCTGAATTTGTATCATGTTACTGCTGCATCAGCCATAACTTTGGGGACTAGCTGAATAAATGGTAATCAACCAAGGACTAACTCTATGTGAATTATATTTGTTCGGTTCAAATTTTTGTAGTGTTATTATGGCATAAATTCTATAAATGTTTCATAAGTTCTATTTTTTTTCTGTCTGGAAGTTCTCTTGAAACCATTACTTTTGTATAATCTTCTTTATTCAATCTACATAGCATACTGTTCACTTCATGAAACCAACAAATCTCAAAATAAATAAAAACAGATTGAGAATATCAATGTAGACATTCAATACTGCAAATACATATTCATCTGGATTCAGGCGATAATGATGCTTCTTTCCCAGCATTAGTTGTGTGTCGACCAATAGGTACTTTTAAAAAAGAAAAGAAAAATGCAGTTATTGCATTTAAGTTACTAAATCTTCCTCTCACTTCTCACAGAAGATATAATTTATTTTAAAAGCAATTACCTAGCATAACAGTTTGCATAATTAACTGTTTTTATCATCTTAATCTTCAAAGATCTAGTTAAGTGATCTTAATATTTTAATGCGGTAAAGCTCTCTATTAATAAAAACAATCCCTTTTTGTCGTAATTATTGTTAGAACTTCTAATACAATGATATCATCTTAAGGTTTATATTGAAAATAAACTCATTAGAAAGTAAGCACAACAGACATGGTCATAAATTTTGATGACCTAATTCAGATGATCATTTAAGACACATTTTTTTTACAGAAATAAGCTGTAATGAGTTTCAGTTTTGCATAGTGCTGTTTGCCTCTCACTCTATGTCAGTGGTGGCGAACTTATGGCACGCGTGCCAGAGGTGGCACTCGGAGCCCTCTCTATGGGCACGCACGCATGCCGTTGTCACCCCAGCCCCGACTCTCCCCACGGCCCCCTCCTCACCAGCAGCCTCCCCGGAGGAGAGTCATTACCGGGTGCGGCACGCACACAGCAACGCAACCAAGGAATGGCAGCCGGGCAGCAGGGACAAGACTCCACCCTCATACCTTGTGCGTAGATGATGCTGCGGGGCACGGGTGGAGGGCGTGGCCACCATGGCACTGCCGGGCCGCCTGAGTGATCTGTGGCAGGCTGTGGAGGCAGTGGGTGGCCCTGTGGGCAGGCGGGGGTGGATGGAGCAGGTGGGAGTGGGCGGGAGGGGTGGGGCGGTTTTTGGGCACTCGGTTTCTAAAAGGTTCGCCATCACTGCTCTATGTGGTATAGATTCGATCTGTAGCTAATTTAAGTTAAAGACTTACTATGCCAAAAAGAAGTGTTCCAACACCAGAATAAAATACTTCTGTCAACTGCAAAATAAGAATTTTGAATTAGAATTAAGCAGGAACAAAAGTAATTAGGGTTCCTTAAAACTTAGTAGTATCCATATGATTTGCTGTCCATTCCCTAGAAGGCAAGTATTTTCCTTGGGTTAAAGATTTGACATAGACTCAAGTTGAAGCTAGTTGTCTAAGAATTGTACTATTCTTTTGCTTTTAAAATGAACAGAACCAATGATCTATGTCTGCTCTGCAAACATGTCCTAATACTTCAGGGGAAAACTGGATGAGGGCCCTGTGGTAATGACTGTTTTTGTACCATCCTTTCTTGATGGTTTGATACCTTCAGATGTTTCCACCCTTCTTCATTGGAACGCTGTGTAAGGGTAAAATAGGACAACACTTCACTAAATTGGTCCTAAATTGAGATTTGTGGTGACGTTCTTCATATGCTGTATCTACCCCTTTGGGAGTTAACAATTAATTTACCATGATAGGACTTCTTATCCAGATAATTTGTTTATATGAAGTTGCATGCTAGCTGTGCCCCTTCCTGGCCCATCTTTTGCATGTGAGCACTTCATTTATTCCAAAAATATGCCATATTGGGCTCACCCTTCTGTCTATTTGATGTAGAGTGTTGCTCCACAGGTTCTTTCTTTTTGCTAGAGAGCTAGCATTAAACTATTTTTGGCATTATACATTTACCTGCTTGCCAGTTCTTGCTTTTCCCCAAATATGTTTACCTTTTGTGAAGTGTCTCATATGCTTTCAGTAAAAATTCCACATATAAAAGTTAAATGCTATACTTCTAATGAAACTATAACTAGTCTTCCAGCCAAACAAAATCATCAAAATTTGCCTCCAATTGCATTGAAAAGACAGTGCCATATATACCACTGTACCAGGAAACTCCACATGATTGAGCTCAGCTGAATTTGGAAAACCAAAGGCTGATTTAGCAGAATTAAAAGTATTTGCAACCATAATTACAGTATAAAAACTAAAATGATTATAGTTGCATTCTTCCTTAACCTTTAACAAGATAGGAAACAGTTTATGAAATTAAGAATCAAATAGGTAGAACAAAAAAGTTGTGAGACCAAAAAAATGAAAGTACTTCACTTACTTGTGATTGCATGAAGATACAAAGAACTCCAGTAATGGTTAATGAAAACAACAGGACTAGCAATATTCCATTTGTGATGGTAAGTTGCCACTGAAGAGAAGCAACAATAGAATCAACATATTTTTGTCATCTCACAAATATTAGGACCTAGAATATTTGAATAACATGATGCATACAAGGAAAAATTCTAAGTAATCCCATTTCATACTTATCACAACATTTTCATAATTGGTTTATTAACAAATATACTGGAGTCCCTACCAAACTTAGTATCTCTGCTAAATTTTTATTTCTTAAATTTATATGGCAGTCAACTCAATACAAAATTGAAACAGAACATTGTACCTGGAATGACGGATGACTCACACATACACAATCATTTCACTAAGGTGGAAGAATCAAGCCTTCAGCACCTTATAAAAGGCAACTTCCAGGGAAGAAATGAGGAACGCAAGACAGCTCCATTAAGAGTGGTGCCCAAAACCACAGCCGAATGAAGAGCAGGTGAGTGGGTCAGAGAAAGACAGGACTTTCCACAAGTGCACTAGACAGTTGCTTCTCATAAGAAGCATGTCTCCGGTGGATTTAAAGCTCTTCCGAATCTCTCAAAGCTCTAAACCCACCAGAGATATGTTCCTTGTCGGTCCAATGATGGTTTCTTGAGGAAGAAGGGCCAGTATCATTGCCTCAGAGATGAAGTCACCTCTTTTTGGATCCGATTACATGTTTCTCAGAAAGCTTTAACCAACCAGGAGCGACACAGATCTAAAACAGATGGCTAAATTGACATCCCCAAGGATCCCATCCATTGCTTTGGGACCAATAATAACTAAACAGTCTTAATAAAAATCTTCTATGCCACTTTATATCTTGGATGCTTTCCTTTCTCTGTAGTTCCACTATATAGTAGTCTTTCCTTTGATTCAACCCTCAGAATTTACAGTTTATTTTAATACTAATAAATATACTTCAGGAAAAGATGAATCCAAACATTTCTATTGAAATAATTTTTAAAATTTTGTTTTTGTTATTTTTCAAAATATAGACAAACACCTCACTTAACGGCTACTTGTTCAACAACCTTTTGACCATACTAGTTTTTATTCTTGTAATTGTAATATTTAATAACCTTACTATAAAAATGCAGATTAGTGATATTTATTTTTATTGCTTTTAAAAAATAGGAAAAGGAAAAACAAAAGAAACAAAAACAAAGGCATATAGATTATTTAAAAATTACATAATGGTGCTTAAAAAGTATATTAAAAATATAATAGAAAAAAATATGACATTACAATGATTAACAGTATATAATTACAATTCTACATATAATTATCTAATGCAAACATGCATATATATATGTGTGTGTGTGTGTGTGTGTGTATACACATATGTGCGCGGGTGTGTTTCTAATGTATAATAACTTGTAATTTTTAACCTATATTTTGAATAGATGAGTCCCATATTTTATTATACTTATCCGTACAAACTCCACGTCTATAGCCAAACAGCTCATAAGTAGCAAGTATAACCAGGTCTCCAATCCACTGAGTAAATGGAACTGAATGTCACTCTTCTAGCTATAATAAAGACACAGAGACTCTATTTGCGTTACCCAGTTGTCAAGTTCCATGTGCTGGGAATGCGATTCAAGAAAATATTATTCTCTGCAAATGTTACCTTTTATTACACATTCACATTTATATATTCCACTACTTTCTCCCAAAACTTAGAGAATCCTTTTCTGAGACCTTTAATAGTGTCCAATGCACTATAAATATTATTTTTGTTGTATAAGTTATAGTTTAAGGCCCATTGACATTCCTGCTGTAGAAATTAAGACACTATATTGGCAAGACAATATAGGAACCTCTTTATTCACTCTTAGACATTTCTAAAATTCTGTTTTCACTTCATCATTAAGGGGTACTGAGTGTAGATTAATGAAAAAAAATGAATTTCAACAACTATAGAATCAGGCTGCAGTATAACAAAATTGACAGACATGAAGTGGGGTCTGAATACTTTCTGAATGCACTGTAGTTCAAGAGACAGAACATACCTGATTTTTAATTGTGATTTAATTGTTCATATCTCAAATAGTTCTGTAGGACATTTAAACAGTGACTGCTTACTTTTGTCTGAAGAGCAAAAAAATACAGTCCCAATGTCACTAATGAAGTAGAACCAACAGTCCACATCAAAGTGTCTGCATCGAAGAAACTAAAACCCAAGAACACACAAATATTTCTATGACATTCATAACCACATCAACACAATGCAATTCAATTTATTCATTAACAACTTACGCATCAATGGATCCAAGCCATGTACCCATAAGGATTGTCTAAAAATAAAAATAACTTTTATTACATTACTTATGTATTATTACTATTATCTTACATAATATCTTTTTTTGTATTTGTTCCTGAAGGAAGTTCTTCATTTTCCAATTCAGAAAAAAAACTATAATTCGTTCTACCATATAGAATTTTTACATATAAATTCCCAGCCAAAAAACCCTACGTACTTAACAATATTTGTATAGGTATGTTTTGTAAAATTATGTTAAACTAAAAAGAGATATACTTATTAAAATGATTCAGATGAGGGAACATAATGGGAAGTTATAAATGTGCAGATGGAGGGAAAAACCAATGTTTTAGAAGAATCTTGACAGACATGAATACTGAGTCCTATTCAACAAAGTGCAATTCAGTGGTGAAAAAAGTAAGATTTTACACTTGGGCAAGAAAACCCACTTGTACAGATATAGAATAACACTGCTGGCTCAACAGCAATAATTCTGAAAGGGATCTAGCAGTCCTAGTGGATAACCACATAAGTATGAGTCAGCAGTGTGCTGCAGCTGCCAAAAGAACCAACGTAGTCCTAGGCTGCATCAACAGAGAGATAATATCAAGATCAGGTGAAGTATTAGTACTGCTATATACTCCTTTGGTAAGATCACACTTGAAATACTGCATCCAATTTTGGTCACCACAGTCCAAAAAAATGTTGAGATTCTGGAAAGAATGCAGAGAAGAGCAATAAAGATGATTAGGGGCTGGAGGCTAAAACACTTAGTTGCAAACTAAGTAGGTCTCGCCTAACAAAGAGAAGGACTAGGGATGACATGATAGCAGTCTTTCAATATTTGAGGCGCTGTCACAGAGAAGAGGGGGTCAACCTATTCTCCAAAGCACCTGACAACAGGACAAGAAGTAACAAATAAAAGCTTATCAAACAGAATTCCAACCTAGAACTAAGGAGAAATTTCCTGAGAATCAGAACAATTAATCAGTGGAACAGCTTGCCTCCAGAAATTGTGGGTACTCCATCCTTGGAGATTTTTAAGAAGAGATTGGGCAGTCATTTGTCTGGAATGGTATACCCAGGGGTTGGACTAGAAAATTTCCAAAGTCCCTTCCAACTCTGTTATTTTGTTATTATTCACTTGAAAAAGTGCAAACAACAACAGAGTCAAATACTCATAGTTATTGTATGTTTCAGGTGCATTCCTAGATGCAATCATTTATAAAATGCAGTTATCCTTATGCACCACTAATAGTAAACAAAAATAATTTGAAGTGATTTGTGACCTATTAGTAATTAAGATATGACTCTGGGGTAGCTAACTAAGTATCTAGCATAAGTATTAAGATCATGATGAGTTATATAATTTACAACATGCTAGAGTAAAAACCAATTATGGCAGAAAATTTTTTTTTAACCAATTCAGCTTGACAACTTTAATGAAAGTTCTCGGGCTGTTTATGCCAACACACTGCATATTCATAATTACTATTATATGCAATATGGGGATGAAACAGCATTTCCTCAAAACTTATATTGGGGGCGAAAATAGCTGTAGGATAGGAAGTACAGACTTTTATTGTTTTGAACTTTATATGAATTAGATTAGCTTTCTCCATCCTGATACCACATTAGCCAAGCTGGCTGGGACCTGGGGCGATATTGGCAGAAATTCTGGTCCAGCATATTTCAGTCTGGAATGGAAAATAGACAGTTCTATCTGTCTTCATGTTTACTGTAAAAGCCAAGTAGCACATTATTCAAATTATAAAGTATTGCAGAGCCTAGGTGCAGCAAAAGGTAGCAATGACATACTGTATATAATAAACTGATATTAAAATATCATTAATATAGACCATTACTTTCAAGAGATACTTACAAATAATGCTAATAAAATGACATTCAAAGGAAATTTTCTTCGGGCTTGATCACAGCACGCTAAGGCAATAACAATTAGCAGGATTGCTGGTCTAAAAAACAGATAAACATACTACTATCATAGTTTAAAATGCCCTGTTGTTATCTTACAATTGATATAATAAAAAATTAACATTCAATAAATAATTATAGATAAAACCATATTTACATTTAATAATCCAATAAAATGCCTTTGAAGGAAAACAATATAAACTGAATAGATCTTTAAATTTCTTTTTTTAAAAATGCAGTGATGAAGCTTAAGATATTACAGTAAACACACAATTTCTCAAAGAGCAAACATCAGTTCCAAATTTCAGTCTAACATTATTGGATTATTAATTTATGCAGGTTTCCTATAAATAGAACTGCTTCTCTCAGTGGAAATTTGAAAGGACACTTTTCAAACTCACACATACAGCCCCAATGACTTGACTGAGTTTCCATGGTAGATTTGGAGGACATGAAAGCTTGACAGATGAGTAGAATCACCCCTTGCTCATTTTGGTTAGCAGACTGGCATCCATTTTTAAAATCTCAATAAGACAGAGATTTTATCTCATTATGGTATTAGAACTCTATCGTGATTATTATAAGAATATCTCTGTATTATAACTCAACTAAAAGGTTAATTTAATTCTGCACCAAATTGACCTTGGCTAATTTTTGAGGCTAAGCAGGACTGACTCTACATACTTAGAACTTGGGTGGATGGCCTCCTGTAATTAGAGTTGTAGGTTAGACTGGAAGTAAAAAATACATTTGGGAAAAAAATGCAAATCCCTTCCATATTGCTACCAATAAAATAATGTGGGTAGAATCTCCTGACATTGAGCTAACGCAAGATGACTTTACCTTGCAATCCAATTTACTGAGCATACCACTTCTCTCTGATTATTTTCATAATAATCAAAAACACTCTGATGAAATTTTAGATAGGTGATCATCTTATATCAAACATACAATATATTTGCTTAATATTATTAAATAATGTTTCTTAGCCTACAGACTGCAGATACAATTGGTACTACAAGTTGTTGGTTTGCTTGTTCAGGGATATTGTTTTTTTTAAAGTTTTTCTATGAAATAATACATATTTACTAAGGAGCAGATTTTAATAATTGACAGTTGCATATATAATACTTACAAGAGAGAATAGCAAAACCATGGTCTTCTCCGAACCCATATTTTAAGGTACTTCCTAGACCAAAAAAATTCAAATATAGTTACAGAAAGGATACAATGGAATTAATTAGTAATTTATTCAATTAATTTTAAAATACTTCCATCTCACCTTTTTATATTTAGGGATCAAAACAATATTAAAAATAATGAGGTTCAAAATGCAATAAAACAACAGAAAGCATGTTAATCATCAGGAGCTTAATTTACAGAAAACATTTTACAATTATTATATTTTAAATAATTATATAGGAGAAATTACTTTTTTAAAAAAATCTACCTCTGTGTCAACGAAAGGTGGTGTGTGTGTGTGTGTGTGTGTGTAATGCTCTTCCTACTTTTTCCCATAACAGTAGCCCTGTAAGATAGGTTGGATTTTTTTTTCCATCCAAAGAAAACAAAAATCAGCTGCCCATACAAAGCAATTGTTTAGTAGCAGAATATAATTTTTAACCAGACAGAGAAGAAAAACTGTCAGATATAAATTTGTAAGTGTAGATTTTGCATAAGTCCATTATGTATATTTAAATGGTGCTTTCTGTATAACTGAACATTTTTCTGCATTTAAAATTGTATTTCAAATCAAAATTTGACATCCATAATTTTTGGGTAATTTGTGGGTGCTCCAGCACTGAAGGTTTTTAAGAAGAGATTGGACAACATTTGTCTGACATGGTAAAGGGTTTCTTGCTTGAGCAGGGGATTGGGCTAGAAGACCTCCAAGATCCCTTCCACCTCTATTATTCTGTTATTCTAGTGAAAATGTATTTACCTTTGTTACTTTGTGAACAATGGAATAAACTATTTAGCACATAATTCTTTATATCACCTGAATAATAGACCTTGTGTCCCAGATGCAATTCAAGCAGTGAACATTGTGGAAAGACAAGGAACAGGAGACATTTGATTCCTCCCCCCCCATTATTCAAATCCTAGAAAACATGAAAGTTCTATAATGAATAACTTTATTAGTCACTTTGCTTCATGTGAACTTGTTTATCTTTTCCTAAGTTGCACCTTATTATTTGCAGAGGGTGTTTTCCCCTCACAGTAAGAGGAGAAATACTTGAATCCACTAAAATGAAATATAACACGGGGGAAGAGAAAATGAGAAAAGGATGAAAAGATTAGATTTCCACATGTCAAAGATTAGGAAACAATTGGCTAAGAGCATGCCGCTTGGAACAATTGAAGGCTGGGAGAAAATGCACCTTCTGCAATGTAGCAGATAATATCAAAAATATACACAACCCTCAACCATTCAAGGCATCTGATGTGACCAGATCTATCCATGTGATAGATCTCCTGCACACCGCAAGTGGCATATTTGGCTGCAAGCAAAACACTGTTTTTTCGATGGTGTGCAGTATTTAGGAGCTCACATGTAATGGGATGAGTTGAATATTATACTGCATTATTGTTGGAACCAGTTGCTGCTAAATTTAGGTACCCGTGAGAGTTATTGCCCCAACATATCCTGACGGCACCAAATTGATGACAGCTGCAATAAAGCACACTTACCAGTAGATGAACATACATATTATAGCATCAGTATAACCCAGTTGAAATGCCAACATGAGATATAATTTCCAAAGAAAGGCTAAGGAAACAAAAATAATTTCAGATTATATATTTAAAACAAATCAGGCAATCAAGTTTTGTCTGGAAGTTAAAAGGTATCCAGAAAGCAAAAATGGCACCATTTTAATAAATCCATGGATTATTCAGTTTACCAAATATGTAAGGTTAGATAATGTAAATAAGAACCTCTTTTGTTCCCATAGGTCAGTGGTGGCGAACCTATGGCACGGGTGTCAGAGGCGGCACTTGGAGCCCTCTCTGTGGGCACACGTGTCGTTGCCCCAGCCTTGCCTCCCCCCGCGACCCCCTCATCTCCAGCAGCCCCCTGAAAGAGACTCGCCCCCGAGCCTTGCCCCAGCCTTGCCTCCCCCTGCGACCCCCTCATCTCCAGCAGCCCCCCTGAAAGAGACTCGCCCCCGAGCGTGGCCCACACGGAATAGCACAGCCAAGGACATGGCAGCCAGGCAGCGTAGTCAAGACTCTGCCCTCACATCCCATCATGCAGTTGATGCTGCAGGGTGCGGGCAGAGGGTGTGGCCACCATAGCACTGCTGGGCTGCCTGGGCAATCTGCGGTGGGCCCTGGAGGCGGTGAGTGGTCCTGTGGGCAGGTGGGGCGGGGGGCAGAGCGGGGGCAGGCAGGGGTGGTGGATCGGGGATGGGGCCAATTTTTGGGCACTCGGTCTCTAAAAGGTTCGCCATCACTGCCATAGGTTATTCCTTTCAAATGTAATATACCTCAGTTGCTTTTTCAGACACTGAACAACTGTGTGCTCAACAACTTTCTTAGATGAAGAGCAGCAAAGTTTCTGCCGTTGTTTTCTTCCTATGATTATCAGTCCTATGAATCAACTAGGGCAGGGGTCTTCAAACTTGGCCCTTTTATGACTTGTGGACTTCAACTCCCAGAATTCCTCAGCTAGGCATGCTGGCTGAGGAATTCTGGGAGTTGAAGTCCACAAGTCATAAAAGGGCCAAGTTTGAAGATCTCTGAACTAAGGGGTAGCAAATAGGTGTAACTCGCTGAGATGCATAAGAGGAATATGTTGTTAAACCCATAATTTCCACTTACAACACAGGAAAATGGTTAAAATATTCTTTATTTTTTTACTTATTTGATTACAGGTAGTCCTCAACTTGCGATCACAATTGAGCCCAAATTTTCTGTTGCCAAGTGAGACATTTGTTAAGTGAATTTTGCCCCATTTTATGAACTTTCTTGCCATAGCTGTTAAGTGAGTCACTGCAGTTGTCAAGTTAGTAACGTGGTGGTTAAGTGAATCTGGCGTCCCCCATTGACTTTGCTTATGGGAAGGTTGCAAAAGGGGGCCACGTAACACTGAGACACTGCAACCCTCCTAAATATGAACCAGTTGCCAAACAACCAAATTTTGATCAGGTGATGCTGCAGTGGTTGTATGTGTGAAAAATAGTCACAAGTCACATTTTTCAGTGCCGTTGTAACTTCAAACAGTTACTAAACGGACAGCTGTAAGTCAAGGACTATCTGTATTTTTTTCTGCATAAAGAAACTAATTAATGCTGAGAACAAGCAACAGCATTTTCTGAATTCAAAACAAAATGTTTTGTATCTTCTTTTTTTGGCTTATGTTGTTTCTTGAAATTGTTTCATAAATGAAAAAATAATGTTGATGGGATATGAATGGATTAATCTTTGACTGCTGCCAAACAACATTGCAGCTGGCAGTGGAAATGAAAGAGACATTATTAAAATTTCATTCTAGTGAAATTCCAGGGGTATATATATATCAGAGATTGAACATCAATAAACTACTTTCTGTACTTCCTCGATCGATTGCTTGTGTGCCATATAGCAAAGCATGAATCATAAAGAATGAGTTACTAGAATGGCTTGATATTAGCAAATACACTTTCTGATACTGCCCCCCCAAAAAAAATACTGAAAAAGGAATAGGTGTGGAAACAATGAATTCAAAGTTTGCATAGTATAAATGTCAAGAAATCAGCACTGTCAAAGGTACAAAAACATCTCTACTATTCTCTAATGCAGACATGTCAAACACAAGGCCCGGGGGCCGGATGCGGCCCGCGAAGTGGTTTCATGTGGCCTGCGAAGCCATTCTGGAAACAATGAGGGAACGGCCCCCACTGCCTTGGCCCTGGCCTGTTTTTCTCCCTCCCTCATCTCAAATATTTTCCCACCACTCTGTACTTAGGAAGGAAGGAAGGAAAGAAGAAAAGAAGGAGAGGGAGGGTCTGAGGGAAATCCTGCCTTAGTCCTGCCCTGCTGCCCTTTCACCATCCCCTTGCCCCCTCCTCCTGGCCTATCCTGGGGGTCTCCCATCCTATTGCTAAGAAAGCTTTGGATACAAAGCCGGGTCTCCTCCCATGGAGAGGGAATGGGCCTCCCTCTGACTTTGCCCTCATACCCATCATGAACAAACTGGGTAAGAAGAGCAAGCACAGCAGCAGCAGCAGCCTTGAGGAGGAGGTAAGTGCAGCTAGGCACCTCCTTGAGGAAGTGGGGCTGGGCTTGGTGCCGCGGGTGCTCGAGGGCCAGGCTGGGCGTTTGACCTCTGCTGTCCAGGGCTCCCAGCAGCTCACACCACTATCCAGCCCCCCCCCCGCATGACCTGAGAGGATCAGTGAGGCTCCTCCAGTGGACCATGCCTTGGCACTTGCCCTGGTCCCATCCCCTTCTGCCAGAGACCCTCAGATCTGTCCCACTCCTGCCCAGGCCCCCACAGGCACCCTTGACACAAACGATGTAGAGCTGGCCACGTCCACCCAGTAGGCCACACCCACTTCATCCACGCCCATCCAGTAGGCCACACCCACCCTGGCCACACCCACCCAGTCCCCCCCGAGGGCAACTGCAATGCTGATGCGGCCCTCAATGAAATTGAGTTTGACACTCCTGCTCTAATATGTGCATGTGGGAATGGAGCGGCTTTCTAGTTTTCTATTTCCTGAACTTCTTACCCTTCCCCTTCTTGCTGCAATGGTCTGTTCACTTCTCATCGCTAGGTAAGCAAGTAAGCAGAAACAAAGAGTAGTTATAAACTTAAACTAGATTCCATTTAAGTATTAAGCAAAATCGTACTAGGGGTGTGCAAACATTTTGAATTTTAACTTTGAAATTCAAAATGTCTCTTTTCAAGTTTGATAGTAACTTTGGATAGTTTAAGTATAGAACAGCTACTTTAGAGCTGAACTTCGATTATTTCAAATTCAGAATGGTTCAAATTCCTGTTACTTCATGAACTTTAGTATGACCATTTACAGCCAATTGAATTGAATGCATCCAATTCAAAGTATACCCATTATCTCTGAATAATCTTTGTTATTGTAGATTACAAGGAATATTACAAAATGTTGGATAAGGTTTACTAAAATCAATTCTATTCCTGGGAAGGTGAATCTAAAGGGAAGAAATAAAAAGATTTTTATCTTCCAACCTGAAGTAACATACATTCCATTACCAACCTGATATAAAGAATTTTATATCAGTTCTTCCCTACATGTTCTTGCCATATAGATTGTTGCCACTTACTTCTGCGAACGGCTTTGTCTGCAAATGGACCTGAATCTTCAATAACATTTACCATGTGTTGGCGTCTTCTGTGTGATGGTCCACGTCTTGGACGTCTACCATATGATGGAGAAGATCTTGTTCTTCTTACATGTGATGGAACCCTTTCAAATTTTGATGAAGCCTCTCGAGCAATTGTTTTCTCCTTACTCTGTGGTAAAATATCTTCCTTTACAAATTGCTTCACTGGCCTTGGGACTTCTGGAGAATCACCACCAGGATGTTGGTATTTGATGTATGCTATATCTCCAGATAAACTTATATTATTTTCCATCTTGGGTAATTCCATTCCAGTTATACCTTTAGAATGAACACCAATAAACTCATTACAATGGTTATTGTGCTTAAACTCAGTTTCAAATTTGTCTTCTTCATCCTGCTGCTGATGAAGTGTGCCCAGCCTGGCGCTTTGTAAGACATCTTCTAGCTGTGCCAGGCCTTCTTCCTGAGATTATGTGCAGTCTTCTTATGAGGTTTTGAAGCCTTCCAAAGCCTCACAAGAAGGCTGTGTGCTATTTGACCAGGGCAGCAAGACCAGCCTGAGCATGCCTCATCAACAGCAGAAGATGGAAAAGGGCAACTGAGGGCAGCACAGGCAGTGGAGTCCTGAGTAGCCAAAAAGGTACAGATGGGGAGAGATAGGCAGGTAGGAGAGATAAAGAGGAGACAGTCTCTTACCTTACCCAGGCTCCTGAGTGGAAGGGAGCAAGCTGGGAATCAGGGTGAGTCCTTGCCTAACAACTGGTGAGATTCAGTTAAGAAGGGCAATGAGGATGTTAGAATTGCAATGTGGTCATGTGACATCACTCTTTACAACTGCATCACTTAGCATGGAAATTTCAGTCCAAATTACTATTATTAACCAAGAACAACTGCAATCTGTTTTTCTCCAAAATAATTTAGGTTAAATAAAGTATTGTAAACCAATGGGCAGATTAAGCTGTTATTTGGATTGCTTTCACCTTTTCTAAATTGTCAAGGTATAATTTAAGAATAGAGGTGTTGATGTTTCTCTGCTCTTTCCCTGCAGTATTTTTACCTTCCACTGCAAGGAAAAGATTTAGGACACTTCCATGGCTGGTTTAATTTTTTACCTCAGGTTAGAAGTGTGGGAAGTCAGCCCCTCAGAGAAGGAAATATTAAAAAGGGCAGAAAAATATATTTCCTCCAAGGATCTTAAAGAGATAGAAAAGCATGCCCAATTTTTCTTAATAGCCCCAAGTCTGCCTTCCCCAAGCAGAAGCCAGTTCTGTACAGATGCAGATGTAAATCATCAGGAAAGTTGGAGCTAGAAGCTTAGGAAGACAAAGACACCTAAAATCTGCATACCTCACCCAAACTCTAAGAGTCATTAGCCCCAGCACCAGGGAAGCAGGATATGACCTTTGGGACATAATAGGATTAACTCACAGATGCCAAAGGGACACAGATCAAAATACATGACACAGGAAATACAAAGCCTCAAACAGGAACAGGAAATAACCTCCAAACAAAAGGCTCCAGAGAGTATAAAAACCTACTCCCTACATGTGCTAAGTCCCTTTTCTCTCCTCTTTCCTGCCAGGACCATCTTTCTGTCTGGCTCTTCAATAAACTGCAACCTTCTTTCTAAAGCAGTCGCCATGTTGTTTATCCCCGGCTTGGACTGGACCACGATGAAGACTTTTCTTTCCACAGAAGTATGTTAGAAGATTGTGAATTCAGAAGATACATCATTCCTCCTAAAACATTTCCCACCCAACATAGACATTTCATTTGTTTTTACTTCCTCTTTAATCAGGAAGTTAAAGCTTTCCAGTGTAGACTTTACCTTCTGAAATCAATTCATTTTATTTTAACTTTTTGAGGTTCTTCTTTGACTCCTAAGCTTTCTAGAATGAAGATTAAAATTCATTATTTTTCATAAATCAGAAACCAAGAGGAGGCATCTTTTTTCTGGAGAGCCAGTTGATTATGATTAAAAATTAAGAATGGATGGGAGCAAAATCACACTTAATCTAGTCTGCCTCATAGGCTAGTGGTGAGAAATTAATGGATTAATACCTTCTTTGTCTTTCCAAAAAGAAAGACTCAAATATAATCCAGTCAAAAATAAAGTATTTTACTGAACTTTGAGATGAAATGAAACAATAGTGAGCATAGTGGTGTAATGGAAAAGCTAAAGTATTCTAAAATTTGTGTGAAATATGAATCTAATGGAAATTTCATCTAAAAAAAGTAAGCAGTTTTATATTTTATGATTAAAAAAAATAAATAATGCCTGCTTGTAGGAAAAAAACGTTATGCACCTGAAGGTAACACTTAGTGCCTTTCTGGCAATATTGAAACCACAATTCAAGTATGCAAATATTGGATATATTGGAAAGTACTTATTAAAAAGCTAAACAAACATGATTTTAGAAGAGAAGTTAGTGGTTTGCCACTATATAGAAATGAGAGAGTGACATAGACAGATAAGGAAAGAATGAGGCAACAGAGAAAAACTGTACCAATTAGAACAGAAACTAATCAGGCTATTAGAGCAATTAAACCTAAGAATTTTAGAATTAGGTATGTGCAAATTTAACATAAAAGAGGGTTGCTCAATGCTTTTGACCTAAGTGCTAAATAAACTTATAAATTCTGAATTACAGAAACTGGTGTTTTGATCTGAGCAAGGAACAAATCAAAAGAAAAAAAATTCTTCCAACAGATTTACACATCATAGTTGAAAAGCTAGTTATAAATAAAACATTTAAATATTTCTTTGCCAGTGGCTAGCAATCTTTTATTTATGCAGACCATTAAAACCCACCACACTGCAGGGCAGTCTTTCCCTGTCTCCTCCATAGGAGTCTCAAATAAGCTTAATTTTAAAAATAACATGTTTAATGTTGTTACCTGAAATCATGTGAGATAATAAATAATCGATCATCATAGACATTAATATTTTTGTTCAAATCTTTCAAGATAGGATGGTCTCCCAAGATCTTTGTCATTTTTCAATCATTTAAAATGTTATTTTGGCAAGGATGTTGTCTGGCCCACTATAACATTCCTAATCACAGGATTGGAACTATTGGTCTAAGCTTTATATATAGAATTACATACAGATTAAAACAGATGTAAGTTTCTTCAAATGCTTCTTACATATAATGTTAAAATTAATGCAAAATATAGCATTTTCATCAATAGGAAAAATGCTTTAGGTTAGAAGGAGTTGCAGGGTTCAAAACAAGAAGTGAAGGAAATTTATTCAGATAATACTATGCATCATTAAAATTAAGATTACTTACTAAAATATAGATGGTTGCCACATTGATTTTCAGGAAGACACTATGGCAACATGATACACAGAAGTTTCAAGCAGGAGAATTCCAAAAGCAACAGTTGATAAAAAGAGTCTTACAAGAGCCAAGGAAAAATACATGGGGGAAAGGTAATGGCACAAAAACAGCAAAATCTGTTTCTCCTATACTAATCTATCTCTGTGCTCTGTTAGTAAAAGCTTATATTACTATAAACTTCAAAATCAAAATTGTTTCTTTTGTCATGCCACTGAAGATTTTTAACCAACTGTTTATTTTTTTCTTTCTACTGGGAACCATAAAAGCAGGAAGTTGAGAAGTATGGCAGATAGCCTTGGCTCAGATGGTGATCATATCTTGCTAGCAGAGCTGTACAGAACATCAGATTCAAAGGTGAAAATGTGCTTTACAATATGTAGAGACAGCAATGTAACACCTTTCTGCATTCTCTTTGTTATGTAAAATTTTAAGCTTTATTATTAGTTTTACAATAAAAGTGTTATTGGCATTCTGACATGGCAAAGTGACATGAAGTTTAGAAAACCATGCTTTTCATTTGAGCCAAAGCAATTTCCTTCCAGGTGCAAAAACTCTTTCAGGGACTATCAACTAAACAAAACAGTTGTATTCTGAAGTCCCTAATTATAGTAAAGTTGCAAGTGTTGAAAGAAATAAGCATAACATATTTTAATGGTGTTTATCTTTTCTCATGTCTAACCCATAACAAAATCTTCATGGCAGACCAATGTCTTTTATTGTTTGATATTTTGCTTTCTGATACATCCTATAATTCAAGTGCACGTCTGTGCTTTATATAAAGACTAAACTGCCTCTTAATAAAGTTTTGCCTGAACTACTTGTTGTTTGTATTGCCATTGTAAGGAGACATGTAAAAGCCATTTTGCAAAGGTCTTTCTCTTTCAAATCTAAGTTTCTTCAAATGTTTCTAAGTTCTTTCCAACTCTATGGGCAACGGGATAGCAGTGTGTTCTGGGGTTGTATTGGCCCACCCCTATCACAGAACAGGTGAAAGTCAGCATAGGGTGAATTCACCCCTCTGTCTTCAAAGGAAGTGAAGAACTAAAGCAGGATTGTCAAACTTGCAATGTCACATGACGTGTCGCAACGTATCACTACTTTTTTGCCATTGCCGGCAATAGGGTGGGCGCAATTTCGCTATGATGCATCCGGCCCGTGGGCCAGCAGTTTGACACCCCTGAACTAAGGAGTCAGGAGGAAGTAAATGCTAGCTGGTAGTTCCTTAGAGAACACAAATATAAGAAAATGGGAAAGAAAAGGAGCAGGAGTCTGTTGGGGCTCATGATCCATTGTAGGACCAAGGAAACCTATTGTGAGAGTGTGAGACCCACAATATTATGTATGCTTTACCTGATGGAAAAGCAGCTGTACAGGTAATCCTTAACTTACAACCATTTGTTTAATAAATATTTGAAGTTACAATAGTACTGAAAAATTTGACTTATGACCGTTTTTTATACTTACAACCGTTGCATCATCCCAATGGTCACATGATCAGAATTTGGATGCTTTGTAACTGGCTCATATTTATGACAGTTGTAGGGTCCCAATGACATGTGATCGCCTTTTGTGACTTCTGACAAGAGAATGAGGAAGCCAGATTCACTTAACAACTGTGTTATTAACTTAACAGCTGCAGTGATTCACTTAACAACTGTGGCAAGAAAGATCGAAAAATGGGGCAAAACTTCTTTAACAACCGTCTTGCTTAGCAATAGAAATTTAGCAATAGAAACTTACAAATAGAAATTGTGGTTGTAAATTGAGGATTACGTGTAATCAGCTCTGATGGTATCCAAGAGGAAGCATATGGGTGTAGGGCAGTGGTTCTCAACCTTTTTAATGCCGCGACCCCAACCGGTCGTAAGTCGAGGACTAAACCGGTCATAAGTCGAGGACTAAACTGGTCGTAAGTCGACGACTACCCAGCCGGTCGTAAGTCGAGGACTTTCCCTGCCCGGGAGCGCCGCGCATGCGTGGTTCCGCCCCCTGCGCCGGCCGAGGCGTAGCTGGCAAGCGGCAGAGACGGAGCAGGCCGACCACCAGCTGGCCCAGCCCAAGGGAGGTAAGGCACCCGCTGGAAAAGGGAAAAAAAATGGCGGACAAAAAAAATGGCGGACAAAAAAAATGGCGGACAGCCTTGCTTGGCGACCCCCATGAAATGGTCGATCGACCCCAAATGGGGTCCCGACCCACAGGTTGAGAACCACTGGTGTAGGGGAAGCCTCAGACTACTTATTTTGTGAGAGAATCAACTAGTCTGCGAACACTAGAATCTCAAAAAGAACATAAAAAGCACTAACTAAAAAGAGGCTGATACCACCATAGGAGCAGTATAACAACCTTATTTAGAAAAATGTCTGCAGGCTTAGGATGCTGGAAAGCTCTCAGTTCAAATGGGAATGAGTAAGTAGCTATATTTCTTAACAAAAAGCGACAGAGGTTTTTGGATAATATGGTAAACAAAATTGACCAGAATGGAGAACTTTTAATTGATGTATTTTACATCAAACATGTGAAATAATTTTTAATCATGTGTTTGCAATTTAGTGTTAAAAGTGAAAAAGATCTTAAAGCTATAGCAGTTTCCTTTTTGTGAATTAATTTGCCATTGCCATTTGTAATTGTTTTTTCTGATTAATATTGCTCAGGGTAGAGTAATAAGTAAATTGGAAAGATTAAGGTGATGATTGCAAGGGGGTAATTTGAAACATTGAAGTATTATGAGGATTTGGTAGACAAACAGTGTACTGTGCCATTACAATCAGAATAAATATCATTTGTTTTATTTAAAAATATACAACTAATAGAGCAAGAGGTTTGTTATTGCTTATCTCTGTCTCTCTTGAATGGTTTGAATGAGTTCCACATGAATCTCTCTGTCATTACACCAGGGCAGGGCCTCTCTTGCTCCCAGCACTTCTGTGTGCTTATAGCGCTGTTACAGATTGTGTACAAAAACAAACAAGGAAATGTGATTATTTTTTAGAGAAAGATTTCACAGTGACAGTGTTAATATTGATGGAAATAAGTGGCCAAATGTTTGTAAGCATTTGCCTGTGTAGATTTCTATGTTTAAATGTATAAAAAACAGTCAATTTGAGAAACTGTTTTGAGTTCTGGAAATTTAAAAATTATGTGAGCCTGTAGCTAAAGTACTAATGTTCAGACTTAATTCCTATTAATAGCTCAACAATACCGCTTCTAGCAAGGCTTTGATGCAGACTCTTCTGTAAGCTTTCTTCCAGCGATGGTTATTATTATCTAAAGATCTAAGTCAATTATAGAGTCCTGTTAATTTGTGTGTGGTGTGCTTTCTGTTCCCAACTCCTGATTTTATTTTGGAAAAAAAATTCAAAATAGAGCTTGGAGACAATGAAGGAGAAACAAATTTCAGTTAGGCGCCCAGTCCTTATTTCTTGTATGCATTAGTACATCCTCTGTATTAAATGCCTTTTCCTTTTCTCATTGAAAATCCTGCTGAATATTTCACATCTCTCTAAACAGCTAAAAGCACCCAAGCAGTCCTGTGGTATACTAATTTCCTTTTGAGCCCTACAATTGTAATATATCTTGCTTGCCTATTAGAATGGCAGACCAAAAGCCAAAATTAAACAGCTTAATATAAGCCAGAGTATAATTATCAAGAATGTCAAAGTTGTTCTTCAATATTATTGTTGGGGTCGAAGCAGATATTGCTTTATCTGTTTAAAATTTGCTGTTCTTTTAATGACTTTCCTCTTCTTAATCATCAATTCTCTGCTGTTAAATTTCACCTGTATTGTTTGATTTAGTATGAAACATAAAAATAAGCTTCGCACAGGAGCTGGATGAGTCTGTGATCACCATGGAGATAATGGAAGAGTAGAGTAAAATAAAACTCCCTCAAATAAAAAGTATAATTAACAAACCCAGGTTAAACATAACTTACCATATTAAAATTATTAAAATGAAAGAATGTCTCTATTATACACCCTTCCTTACTGCCATTTTACTAAAAGTCCCTACTTTATCTTGGAATTTGCCTTGAGATATTTTTTCCCCTCAAGGATGGGGTAATTTTTTTTTAATCAAATAAGAAAGAAGAGGAACTGATCCTAAAAATGCACATTTTCTATGCAAAATTACATCTTATTGATGGTTTTGTTCATGTGCTAATTGTAAAAAAAGTCAGCACTCTATGGCCAATGAGAATTCCCTTTCAGCAGGTCTCATCATGTCCTTTGGAAGGTAAAAAACGTACTCCCTAAGGTAGCCACAGGTTATGAAGAATTATTTGCAGGTGATGAGCTCTCAGTTTGTTACCTAGAAACTCATACACCCCAACTTTGACATGGAGTTCATAAGAACATGAACTCTAACTTTGAGAAACATTTTCATGTTTGTAAAGGAGATTCTTTGCCTTCCAAAATTACAAATCACCATGTATACAGGTAAAGCAAGCCATTATGGGGAGGGATTCAAGCATTTTTATAGGGTACACAAAAGCAAATGATCTAAACAATAAGAGAGGTCGATTACAGGTAGTCTTCAACTTACAATTCATTTAGTGACCATTCAAAGTTACAACACTGAAAAAAGTGACTTATGACTGTTGCAGCATTCCCATAATCACGTGATCAAAATTCAGACAATTGGCAACTGACTCATATTTATGACAGTTGGTGTCCCATGGTCATGTGATCACCTTTTGAAACCATACAAGCAGTCAATGGGGAAATCAGATTCACTTAACTGTGTTACTAATTTAACAGCTGCAGTGATTCCCTTAACAATTGTGGCAAAAGAGGTCATAAAATGGGGCAAAACTCATTAAAAACTGTTTTACTTAGCAACAGAAATGTTAGGCTCAATTGTGGTTGTAAGTCGAGGACTACCCGTACATGTCAGACTTGAACAACAGAAAAAAAACATTGATTCTGCATAACATTCCAAGTGGCAAATTTCCCAGTCTGGATTGTATCTTTTAGACGTGCAAGTGTCATCAAGGACTTTCAGAATACGCTCTCTGTTGTTTAGTTGCTGAAAAGGCAAGTTTTTGCACATGAAAAACTTGTGGCTAAAAAGAAAACATGATTTCCTGAATTTCAAAAGGCGGCATGGATGCCATGCCAAAATGCTAATATAATCTTTATGAAAAGGCTAATAGTGGAGCCTAAAATTCCAGGTAGTACACCTGGTTGCCAATAAGCTTCCTCACGATCGGTTGGCCTGCCTCGGCTCTCCTGGGAGCCTCAAACTCTTCCCGGCTTTAACAGACCCCTCAGGCTTCGCCCCCGCAGCCTCGACTCGCGCAGCCTGCTGGGCATCCAGCAGGGGGCGGGCTTCTCCGGCGGCGGCGTCCTGCTTTCCCTCCGTTTCCTCAGCAGTGCCGGCCTCTCGCCTTCGGCGCCGCTTCCGCGACCGAGCCGTCGTGGCGGGTGGGCCGAGTGTCAGGAACCGAAGGAGCAAGCGGGCCGGCGCCAAGATGCCGCTGGGCCTGAAGCCGACGTGCAGCGTCTGCCGCACCACTTCCTCGTCCATGTGGAAGAAAGGCGGGCAGGGCGAGATCCTTTGCAACAACTGCACGGGCCGTTCAGGGCCGGCCGCCGCTGGGGCAGCCTCCTACGCCAGCACCTCCTCGGCCTCGCAGCACAGTAACGGCGGCGGCGGGGGCGGCGGCGGGAATAGCGGCGGCGGGAAGCAGGTGAGGGAGCCGCCCAGAGCGATCGGTTGCCGCGCGCGGTTTGCTTCCAGGCGGTGCTGCCTTAGGGCTGGCCGGTTGGTCCGGCTCTGAGGCTGCGGGCCCCGACCTCCTCCCGCCGAACTGGAGCCCTCCAGGCGTTCGACTACCGATTTTCTCAATTCCCAAGCAGCGAGAAAACTATTTTTAAAAATACGTTAAAATATTCCTTCATTCCGAATGCACACCCAAAAGATACAACTCATTTTTTTAAAGTATAAATGACTAAACTTTGGAAAGTGTGCTCGAGGTTAGTCCAAAATATGATTGAAGAAATTGAGAAAAGTGTATTGCATCTGCTGGGATTTTCAACTCAAAGCTTATATGTATCTACTCAGAAATAAGTCTTATTAAGTTCACAAATGTGTACTCGCATATGTGTGGGGTATATGTATATGTGTGGGGTTAATTGTGAATAAGGACCCTTCCACTTGGGAATAAATCTCAGTCATGGGGTTGAGGATGCCAACTCAAGTTAGCTTATCTGAGGTTTTTTTTTTTTTTTTTTACTAAATAACCACAATTGTTTGACTTCATATACTAAGCCACACACAAGTAAATATACTCTTTGACATGGCCTCCCTGTGGATCATCCCCTCCTTTGTTGATCTTTCAAAAACTCTGAAAAGTTAAGTTGTTTTAGAGAAACTTGTATTTTGGATGTTTTTGGTTTTTTTGTGTTTTGTGCTGGTTTATTGTTACTACAAAGATCATTAACTAATTTTTCATTTTGTACCCTGGCTGTTAATGAACATTTTTTGTAGGCCACAGAGAATCTTTTGAAGGTAGTGAGATAATCATATGTTTTAGATAGACAGACCTACAAACAGTGAACATGAGGTAGGGTATTGGGATATTTCTCAGAATGCAAGAAAGTGATTGGAAATGATTTCTGAGAATTGCTGAAGCTGCTGGCACTGTGACTTGTTTTCTTGTGTCATTTTGACCAATGAGGTACATATTTTTCCTTGAAATTACTGAGATGTGTTTTTAAGTAAATAAGTTCTGAACATAAACTTTGCACTCTTTTTCACCTTTTTATACTTCGTTTCTATATCTGTCTGTCTGCCTATCTATCCACATGCATACAAAGTCATTACTAAACGCCAACACGGGTTTGTCAAAAACAGATCATGCCAGACAAATCTTATTGCATTCTTCGACCAAGTGACAAAATTAGTGGACCAGAGGAATGCTGTGGATATAATTTACTTGGACTTCAGTAAGGCATTTGACAAAGTAGACCACAACCTACTACTTGAGAAGATAGAAAAATGTGGGTAGACAGCACCACCACCAGATGGATCCGTAGCTGGCTGACCGGCCGTACTCAGCGTGTGGTCCTCAATGGAACCGCATCTACATGGAGGGAAGTGTGTAGTGCAATGCTGGCTGTGGAATTCTGGAAGTTGAAGTCCACATGCCTTAAAATTGTCAAGGTTGAGAAACACTGGTGTAGTGGGATGCCCCAGGGCTCTGTTCTGGGCCCAGTGTTCTTCAACATCTTCATCAACAATCTGAACAAGGGGATAGATGGGGAACTCATCAAATTTGCAGACTGCACCAAGCTGGCAGGAATAGCCAACACTCCAGAAGACAGGCTTAGGATACAGGAGGATCTGGACAGACTTGAACACTGGGCGCTATCTAACAAAATGAAATTCAATGTGAAAAAAGTAAGGTTCTACATTTAGGCAAGAAAAACCAAATGTACAGGTATAGTATAGGGGGTACCTTGCTCAATAGTAGTAACTGTGACAGGGATCTCGGAGTCCTAGTGGACAATCACTTAGATATGAGCCAGCAGTGTGCTGCAGCTGCCAAAAAAGCCAACACAGTGCTAGGCTGCATTAACAGAGGGATAGAATCAAGGTCACGTGAAGTGTTAATACCACTTTACAATGCCTTGGTAAGACCACACTTGGAATACTGCATCCAGTTTTGGTCACCACGATGTAAAAAAGATGTGGAGACTCTAGAAAGAGTACAGAGAAGAGCAACAAAGATGATTAGGCGACTGGAGGCTAAAACATATAAGGAACGGTTGCTGGAATTGGGTATGTCTAGTTTAACGAAGAGAAGGACGAGGGGGGACATGATAGCAGTGTTCCAATATCTCAGGGGCTGCCACAAAGAAGAGGGAGTCAAGCTATTTTCCAAAGCACCTGAAGGCAGGACAAGAAGCAACGGGTGGAAACTAAGCAAGGAGAGAAGCAACCTAGAACTAAGGAGAAACTTCCTGACAGTTAGAACAATTAACCAGTGGAACAACCTGCTTCCAGAAGCGGTGAATGCACCAACACTGGAAGTTTTTAAGAAGAAACTGGACAGCCATTTGTCCGAAATGGTATAGGGTTTCCTGCCTGAGCAGGGGGTTGGACTAGATGACCTCCAAGGTCCCTTCAAACTTTATCATTATTATTATTATTATTATTATTATTATTATTATTATTATTATTATTATTATTATTATTATTATTATATACACACACACACATACACACACATATACACACATATATACACACATGCACATACACACACATATATGTATGTATGTAAATGGAATTCAGACTAACACTTTCTAAATATTTCTTGTTTTGTATACTATAGAGTAAGCAAGAAATTCATAGAAGATCTGCTCGATTAAGGAACACAAAATATAAATCTGCTCCTGCTGCTGAGAAAAAGGTTTCCACTAAAGGAAAAGGGAGAAGGCATATTTTCAAATTAAAAAATGTAAGGTGATTGTGGACTCTTGATATTGTTAGGCATTTACTAATATCAGTAAGACTTACAGTTTAAAAATGTATTGACATATTGTGTTTTCTACATAGTCAACAGTTCTCTGCAGAAAAATAGTCAAAATTCTATTTTTATATATATAGTTATATACGTACAGGTTTAAAATACTATGATATGTAGATATTAAAGTTTGATGGATGATCATTTGTATGGTATACATATTGCCCCAAACTATTATTATTTTCATGTACTGCTAAGCTATGAACCATTGTTAGCAAATCACAGTGACTGGATTTACATGCTTGAAAATAGACCCAAGTTCGTTGAGTGAATTCACTTATAGACAATTATATTTCCTCTGTATTCCCATGGAAATGGTACCTTTTGAACTGGTCTATATGGAAAATGAGATGAATTGGATGAATTAGGGATCAATTAAGGAAAGGTTCTAGAAATCTTTGTTGAGATGACTTGAAAAAGCTAACAGACTAGTAGTTTTTGCAATTATTTAAGGAAGTTTTATTCTTAAGCTTTTACAGTTGGGGCAACTGAACGAACGGAACTCAAGCGTTTATTGGGCAGATGCCCTTTCTGATGCTTACACGGAGTTCATAGCAGACAATTACTGATTGGGCCAGAAAGAGAAATATTTGCTGCTACCTAAGATCGAACTCACAGCCTCCTAATTGTGAGGCCAGAACTCCACCTATGTGCTGCTATTCAGTTGCCCGAACTCCACCCCAATGCAAGGAATTACAGAGTTGTTAAAAGACAAAAAATCTTAAGTTTTTACAATACTTTACACAAAATGTTAAATTAGAAATTTAGTAATTTTTATAAAAGAAAGCTTTGTATGAGGAGTACATCCTTATCTTCATGGAATGAAATGTAGAATCTGGGCCAATCATCAACATGCCAAATATACTTGATATACTATTTATAACAGATTTGATCTACTAATTCAAATGTCAAAAATGTAATAGAATGAAATATGAATTAATTAGATCATGTTCTTTTTGTATTTATGTCTCTGTGTGTAATCTATTTCATATTCCAAATATTATTTTATATTAATTCAGCTGCTATTTTTGTTTTATTTATTCTCTTGTTCAAACAGGCTAACAAAATCAAACTATTGCTCTATCTTTGGGAGCTAACATTTGTTTAATGTCACTTTCAAGCTGTGTTCTAACAGGTCCATCTTCTGTACAGGACAGTATATTTACATACCGCAAATGTCTAAAGAAGATTATAATTTCATATCTGAACACATTAAGAGTAATATAAGCTGCATCCAAGTTATTGAATTTACAAACTCCAGTAATAGTCTATTCTGTTATTGTATGTTCATTTATTGAAACAGATGCATGTAGCTGCTCTGCTATAAACTAGTAAATGGTTTTCAGGCAATTTGAAATGCAGTTTCTGTAATGTTTGATTTGATTACAGGTTTATATTTTGAAATACTTCCTCGTAATACTAGCCAGCATGCAACTTTAGGTGCATTTTTGTCATAGTTTTGTTCAGTTATAAACCTTTTTTTTCTTTTAGCCCATCAAAGCTCCAGAATCTGTAGCCACAATCATTACAGCAGAATCTATCTTCTATAAGGTATGATTTTGATTTTTTTTTAAAAAGATAGTATTTATCTACACATATGTACAACTGAATGCATCCGTAATCTATTTCTGAGTAGACAGTTATAGGATTGCACTTTTAGTCTTAGAAATGTTGCTACTGTTAAATAAATACACTGCTAAAGGTCAAGAATATTGAAGCAAAAGGTTTTTAAAAAACAAAGAAAACGGTTTATATGCTGGTGGAAGAACTTAATGAAGTTTATCTACTTGCTTAAATGATTTAGGAATTTTATAATCACTTGGGAAAATGTCTGGTCAGAATATATTTTAAAAATTATGAAAAACATAAATAGGATTTGGAATCTAAGACTGTGAGCGCAAGTCTTGATTTAATAGGGCTTTTCTGGCTCTTTCCAGCTGCGGGTTAACGAATCTCCCAAAAAGGTTGTGTCATAATTACATGTTTCTTCTAAAATTCTCTAAAAGAATATTTATATATATTTTTAACATTCTAAAATTAAAAGATACTTAAAATAGTTGTACAAAGAGGTTTTAATTTGCATGAGTGAAAATTCAAACATGACATTTGTAAGAGCTAAGATGTCCTCCACCTATTCAAGGATCCAAGTATATAAGAGTTCTTATAGTAAATACATTATTGAATAATTATATTCCATGTTTGAAATATGATTAAAGTGTATTTATGTTTCTATAACTGAATAATGAATTTACAGTTTATAGTATAGTGAGTTTATATTTTGGTAGTATAGTGTTACTGAACTGTGTTAGTATCCACATATGACAATATTTTGAATAAAGTGATTGGAAATTCATGGCTGAGCTCTTAAATAATTTGTCCATTCACTCGTGACTCCCACAATCGGAACTGATCAAACATCTAGTCTGGTAATGCGGGGATATCCTGGACAGAAGGAGTCCAATGTTTTTTTGTTTTGATCTTTTATCTGATGGTTGCTGAGCTAAATTGCTTTGCAAAATTATTTATAACCTGCCCCTTAAGTGTTTATTTTTCCACCCCATAACCGAATAAATGTGGAAAGCTAGAACATAAAAAGTGTGAACATAAGAGCTTAAAACAGGAAAAAAGAAATGAATCAATTACACATTATCTTAGGCATCAGTAAATTGAAAGGGACTGAAATTGAACACTTTAATATATAGGATTAAAAACCCCAAAGGGATTACCTTGCTTTCATAATTAGGAAGGATATAGCAAATATGATATTTGGAGACTGAATAATATTAATTAGAATTTGTGATTTAGCTTTTAATATGACAGTTATTAAGCTTATGCTCCAATCACTGATAACAGATAAAGTGGATTTTTATGGTCAAGTTTATCTGATCATAAAAGTATTCATTTGTTTCCATTACATTTTCTCATTCATCCATAGATCCAAAAAACATTGCATTTCTGTCAAACTATCAGCAAAAAGTCTACAAAGGGTTTTCAGAATTTTATAGAGATATTTCTTATTTTAATCCTGATAAAATAATTCAGCTTTGTTCTTTTTCTTTTCAAGTCTTTAGAACCCCGTTTTTTAAGATAAAATAAAAAAAAAATTCCAATGATAAATCCTTGCCCAGATCATTTTTCATCTCTCGGCTCATCATTTGTTTTTCCATTCTGCAACAATCTTTGTTTTATAAGCCACAATTTATTTATTTTCCAATATTTGTCCATTGATTGGAATTTGTTTCATCTCTTTGTCTTGTTGGTCTATAATTTATATTTATGATAGTAATAAGATTTATTTTGTTCTTTCATGTTCAGTTTTCCATCTTTTGCTTCTTTTATAGAGTCCTCAAAATTGCATTATTAGGTGAAGAAATTATTATTGTCAATTTAATTATAAGTTCATCTCCAAATTCTTCAAAAACTCTTTAAAATTATACCTCTATTTGTCATTTTATAAATTTCACTCTTCTTTTTAATTAAGGATAAAAGACAGCATTTTCTCTCACCTTTATTTCTTTTTTCCTGCCTGGAACTTTAGTCCCCTCTACTGTCCCATTTCTGTAATCGCAACATCTCAAATGTCTGTTTCTTTATTCTCAAATTTCAACCAACCATCTCTTTCTTAACAGAGTAAATAATTTATATTCCCACAAATATGTTTTTATTTTGTGGTTTCAAAAATCCCTATGTTCCAAGTTCATTTTGTTTCTTAATTTGTTTTAAACTTTCTTCAATTATTATTTAGCTTTATCCATTTATTTAGTTTTTCAAACATTTTGAAATTATAAAACCAAGGTTAGGAAGTGAAGTCAGACAGACCCACTGTTTTTAAAGGCTCTGCTGTCTTGAGAATTTGATAGCTTCCCTCATCTACTGTTGCTTAGACCTGCAAGTTAACTGCTGTCTTACAGTCTCCTTGCAAGGGATAACTGTTGTGAGCATAAGTGGGAGATGTCTCATTTTTTTTCTTGTCCAGAGGGATTCTGCTGGTCCAGCTTTGTCAGTTCATCAGCCATGTCATAACCATCTCATTGATTCACTTGGAGATCTTTGGAATATCTCATCCTCATGAAAAGATTACACATAGTATATGAAGCCACTGCTTGTAAGGACCATTATGAAACAGGTTCCTACTGGCAAAAGAGGGAGATAAGACTGTATGTCTTAGTTTTTTCAACCTATATATTGAATCTATATTGGGGAAACTGGGTTGAAGAAAATTTCTGTGATTTTAAAAATGGAAGAAGCATTAATAGTTTGTAGAATGATGACACTATTCTGATACACATACTCTAGAAATAAAAGTAAAGGAGCACAGTGGAAAAAAATTAAACTACATTTATAAAGACAGTCAAACTAATGAAAAGTATAGCAACCAACTTTATATCTTCTCTCTTTTTAGATTGACTGTTATCAATAAAGGAAGCAGTCAAGAAATATGCCATATATCAGCATTTAGTAGGGTAACAATGAGGGGCTTAGAGATATATCCAGTGTCTATATTTAAAAATATTATATTCCCTCTATTATACTTTATGGAAACTTGAAGTTGAAGCTTGACATCTGAAGAATCAAGATAGGCAGATCCTTTTGAAATTTAATTTTGGAGGAAATTCTTCAGAACACAGTGATAACCATGAAAACAAATAGATGGATCATGGAATAAACCAGAATTCTTTTAAGGCAAAAATGACTGTGCTTAAATTATTGAATTTTGGCCACATTGTTTGAAGACCATAACTCTGGGAAAGATGGACAGAATGAGAGAACTAGCACCAAGGTGGTTGGACTCAATTATTGCCACAGTGGTTGCATCATTGGAAGACTGAAGGGTCGAATGGCGACAGATCATCCTGGAGAAGATCTGACTGTATAGTTGCTGGAAATAGATCTAACCTGATGACACATAATCAATCAAATTGCTGTTCTTTCTGTCAGATGACATGCTATTGCTGTTTTTATCAAACTACATTTATCTCTTAAGGACTAATATCAATTCTTGTTGGAAGAGACTAAATATTTACTATATTTAGGTAATTTTTGTGTTAGAGAAGATGCTACAAACTTTTTGTAGATAAAAGGCAGTTTGTATAAATTAACAGAATCTATCAGCTGCAGTTAAGCTTTCTCATTTTACATTTTTAACAATCTGTATCTTTTCTAGGGAATATACTATCAAATTGGAGATGTTGTTTCAGTGATTGATGAGCAAGATGGTAAAACATACTATGCTCAGATTAGAGGTTTTATTCAAGACCAATACTGTGAAAAAAGTGCAGCTTTAACATGGCTCATTCCTACTACAGCAAGCCCAAAAGACTATTTTGATCCTGCAACTTACATAATAGGTAAGTTCCAAGGACTAAAATATTACGTCTGGCTTGTCCTGTGGATAATTGTACGGCTTCAAAGTTAATTTGTTTTTCTCCCTAGAAAGGTACAATCAGGCCTATCTTTTTAGAGAAGATATGTTTGCATTAGAAACATATCATTTATTTGACAGTAGCCTCTTCTGTTCAATGTTTCTATGTGCTAAGGCAAAAATGCTACTAAACAGGATCAGTTTATACATACTTTTCAGCAGCGTATGTCAACCTTTAATTATCTCCTAGCTTTCCAGATATATGGAATTCAATTCCTAAAATTTCCCAACCAATAGAGCAACTAAGAATACTCGACATTGGTCTACAGATCTGGAAGAACAGGAAAGATTAGCTTTCCACCAATCAGCCTTATAAATCTCAAGCCAAAGGAATCTGGAAAAATAAGGCACCAAAATATAACAAGATGAATACATAGTCTTTGCCTTGCTTTAACATCATCTGGAATAATCATGCAAAAACAGGGTTATAGTTCTATACTATGAATATGTCTATTTGCTTTATTTATTAAATTATTTATTAAGTCTACTATGATTGCCTACTCCCATAGTCTGTTCAACTTACAAAATCCAAATAGACACTTAAATAAAACACATAAAATATGACAGTCAGATTAAAAACAACTGTAAAAATCAAAGCATAGTGGGGTCCATACAAATACATTAGCCCCAGGCCTGGAAATAAAGCAAGATCTTTAGCTTTTCAAATTCCAGGAGAGGAAGCACCTTGTGTATCTCTGGGGGAATGCTGCTGCAGGCTTGCTTCCTCATTCCCAGAAGATTACAATGTTTAATTGAGGGATCCTAGAGTATGAGCACAGCCATTCTGCCCACACATAGAATATCCCTCTACCTATGATGGCAATTGGGATCAGAATTTTATTAAGTCGTGATATCTTAAGTAAAATCCCCACATGACTGGACGCAATTTTACAACTATTTTATGGTAGTCATTAAGTGAACCATGGGGCTATATGTCTGAAACATGCAGTCATTAAGTGAATCATATAGTCCCAAATCCAATGCTATTCTCTCAAATCAGCAGGTTTTTGCCAGAAACTGGGGGGGGGAGGGGAGGAAACTGGTAAAAAAATCTTCACAAATCAGAGTCGTGACTATAGCAGCTCAACATTTTATAATTGTTAGAAGAACTTTATAAAGCACCCTTTCTGAGACTGTCTTAACTCCAAAGGGTCACTAAAGAATCAGTCATGAGGACTACCTGTATTGGACAAGCAGAAAGAATTAGAGATAGGCAGTCCCTCAGATAACCAGGACTTAACTATAAAGGACTTTAGAGGTAACACCAAGCATCTTGAAATGCATCTGGAAGTCAGGTGGTAACCAATGCAGTTCCTGTAGCAGTGATGACACAAAGGAGTTAACAAAGTTGTTACTACTCATTCAACTGAACAGCTGTAGCTTGCAGGTGGAAATACAAGAGCCCCACTGTGTAGAGTACATTGCAATAGGTGTTAAGGGACTACCTGATGAACTTCCTGTGCCAGGAAAAAGTGCAACTGGCACACAAAATGAACCTGTGTAAGGGCCCTCCAGGCCATAGCTGCCACCTGCTCATTGAGCAATAGCTGTATATCCAAGAGGATCCCAAGATTCTTCTGTGCTTTTTGATTTAGATATATGTATCACAACACTGTCTGGAAAATAAATGCTTTTTTTTTTTTAGGACCAGAAGAAGATCTTCCAAGAAAAATAGAGTACTTAGAATTTGTCTGCCATGCACCTTCAGAATATTTTAAATCTCGATCAACTCCTTTTCCTACAATTCCTACTCGGCCAGAAAAAGGTTATATCTGGACTCATGTTGGACCTACTCCAGCAATTTCAATCAAGGAAACTGTTAGTAGCAGCTTGTAGTCTGTCTTCAGAAAATGCTTTTATTTATATTTTAGATTGCCATCTGACTTCTATTTATTGTTTAAATCTCTGCCTTTGTCAATTTTTCATTTTTGAAGCTGTGTTTTCTTTCTCAGAAAAATATGATTTCATCTAGATAAATGAATATTTTAAGTATTTCTGATGTGTTAAAACTGTGCCCTTACATTAAGATACTGTGTACAGTAATTTGTATTTAATTTGATCATCAGGCAGAGGGATGGAGACAAGTATTCATTAAAAAAGTGAGCTGAAATTATAGGAAAATGGAGAAAAACCATTTTATCTGATACAGATATGTCAGGACACTATTTAAAATGTTTTAATTGAAAAACATGGAGAAAAATGGATATTTCTATTGTTACATATGTTACACATGTTCTTGTTATCATTATCTGAGAAAAATAGTTATGAGTCCCGTAAGGGAGATAGGGCGGTATATAAATTTAAATAATAAATAAATAAATAAAGTCTCCCTTACATAAAATCCATGGTGATTCTAAGATAAAATTAAGGTTTAGTTGTAAAACAGTTTTGATGGGAAATCATCTGTTCCAGCACGATGCCATTATAATGGGCACTTTATTTGGTAATGGCTTATGCCAGAATTTTAATGTGAATTATTGAGCCAACTTTTTATTCTTGTGATGTATTAAACAGGGGTCCCCAACCTCCTGTCTGTTCAGAATCAGGTTGCGGAAGTGGTGGGCCAGCACACGTATGAAACTGCATTTGTAAAAGTGGTGTGTGTGCACGTGTGAAGCCATCCCCCCCTCGCCCCTCCATCAGTCTGCCAAGCCAGAAAGGTTGGGGACTGCTATATTAAAGGATATCTTGTTGGTTCATTCCAAGGGTAATCTAGAGGTTTGGGGCAATGTAATTTTCTACTTCTTTACCTTAAATCTTTGTGGCTAATAGAAATGAGTAGGTGGAAGCTGGAGTGTTAAAATAAGGATAAGTGCTAAGTATCTTTTAAGAGACAGCTGAATAGTTATCCCTGATGATGTTCTAACTGCATCCAGAGCATTATTTTAAGTTCTATCAAGTTACAGTTATTTGCCTTAGACACTGTAGTTCAGAAATGGAGATGGTTTGTTAAACTTGGGTAATACAGAAACTCGATGCAAATATTCTAAATCATATAATTTTGTCTTGGTATGTTGTATGTAGCCATTTAACTGTAGATAGTTCAGAAACTATGTTTAAATTGTGGCCTAATGTGAGGCCCAGTTCCATCTTATTTCCATTTTTATTTGGTACCAGGTTTAATTTTAACATCAAAATGGCTTTTTATACTGCTGCTACTATTCATAAACAGTTTTTAAGAAATCCAGATCTATTTTTTTTTGTATCATATAAAACAATAAATGGACTGTATTCACATCTAAACTCTAATAGATGTAGGATGAATACATTAGAGCAATGGTGGCAAACCTATGGCACGGGTGCCAGAGGCGGCACTCAGAGCCCTCTCCGTGGACACACACATCATCGCCCCAGTCCTAGGCCTTCAGCTGGGTTTTATAAAACCTTTTCACTTTAGGCTTCCGCCATGTGCAAAAAAAAAAAAAAAAGGTTCAATCAGTCAATTTCATCTTCTCGAGGGAAAAAAGAAGTTCTTGCAAAGTTGGAATTGATTGATTGAACTTTTTAGTCCCACCCAGTCTGCTATTACCACTGCAGCCACGCCCACCCAATGGGCCACACCCACCCAATGGGCCACACCCACCCGGCATCCGACGATGCATAAGTGGGTTTTGGGTTGCAGTTTGGGCACTCGGTCTCTAAAAGGTTCGCCATGACTGCACTAGAGAATTAGTAAAAATTTGAGCTTCTGGTAAAAAGTATTTCTGATGTTCTGGAAATGCTGCATAAATCAGTTCTATTGTTTATAAATTCTATTAGATTCTAGGTATCACAGACTTTTTTTGTATTAACTTCAATTTGTTAAGACTTGTTTACATATAGATACACGTTTAGCTGTATTGTCTTGGACAATGTTCAGTTACCAGTAACTGCAACAATGCCCACATTTACAACTTTCGGAGCCTCTCTCTCAGTCACAAGTTCATCATCACTATCAGTTAATAAGCATTGTCCTGTGCCTGACTTTCTCTCAAACAAGTGATCTTTTCCAGAGTTACTTTCCTCTGCAGCAGTGTCTCTAAAAAGGGCTAACCACAAGTTAGCAAGCTCAGCTCTGACCTTAATTAGAATTCTCTAGTTTGTGCTGCTGACAATGAAAAGGCTAACCAGTTTCATATGAAAGGTTTTTGTTTGCCTCCTAAGCAGCTTGCTAGGCCAATAGCTAGTGCTAACACATTCCTTTCCACGTGTACTCCCCATTGTGTGCCTGCTTATTCTTTTGTAAGCCCTTCCTCTCCAGTGAATATAAATACAAACATCAATTCTCCTCTAGCTAATTATCCCAATCCCAGAGAAAACATTCCAAAAGGTGGAGAGTTGTGGGGAAAAGAGCTATAAGATTTGCCCCATTGCTTGGCTTCTGTTTGAGTATGGAGACCTTTCCTGTTGTTTAGGCTCAGCTGCCTATTTGGGGTTGTTCCCTGATGCAGCAAAAGGAAAATCACAAGCCCAATCATGGTCCAATACTTTTCAATTAGCAAGCATATTGCTTAATGACTGAGTGGCTGGAACAAATTTCAGTTGCCAAATGAAGACTGACAACATGACTACTAGCAATGTCATGACAAAGTAGGAACAACAGTATATTAGAACATGGGTGTGAAACTCAATTGCGTCTTGTGACGCATTGTAATGTATCACAATCTTTTTTTGCCTTTGCAGAGCCAGGGTGGGCATGGCCTGCACATGACTCATCCAGCCTGTGGGCCGCCAGTTTGACACCCCTGCATTAGAATATTAGCAAAAAATACCATTTGCCTGCAAGCAAAAAATTGGAGAGATCACAAAACAGACTAAAGCAGTGGTTTTCAACCTTTTCTTTGCTACAGACCCCCTTTAAATACTTTTTGTGGCCACAGACTATGCCATGAACCACCAAGACTTAATTAAGATTTAAATCATAACATTTTTTCAAGCCTTCGCAGACCCCCTCTGATGACATTGCAGTCCCCCCCAGGGGCCTGCAGACCAGACTGAGAACCCCTGGACTAAAGAATAGAAAATGAATCTACAGTGCTCTGGGACTATAGAATTCAAACAGACAGGCACGTGCCACATAACATCCAGACTTAACAGTTGTTGATAAGAAGAAAAAAAAGTCTACGTAGTGGACTGTCAGTACCTGGTGAGACCAGAATAGAAGAGAAAAAACTGGAGAAAATCCACATTCAGCAATGTCCCTGATTTACTGTTAAGTTGTGTTTATAGCTCTAGTATTTTCTAAGACCTTGGTTAGTGTTGCAGTTCCACCAATCAAGCCTGCATAAAATAGAATGCAGTATAAACAAAAGCCAATAGATCCATGTTGGCAGCAACATCCAACTTTCAGTGGAGGTCCAGGGAAAGATTCATTCCAAATTATTCATATACAGTATTGATACATATGTATTTGACACCTCGCACTTTTCAGGCATATAAACCAAGTCTAGTATAGGATTCACTTCATCTATTGGACTATAATGATTTAAATAAGCCTAATCAAATTTCTCAGCTTTCTAGAGAAAGTCCTTTGCTAAATATTGAGTAATATGGAAGTTTGCATTTGGCGTAATATGCAAGTACTGCTGAGTGTGAATTGATACCCCAACAATGTCCCACGGCTTCCCCATGTACTTATGAAATTATAAATGCTGGTGTTAATCTACATTAGTTGTTGCTGAAACATTGTATCGCAAGAACTTAAATTCACATGCTAAGTAACACTTTTACAGGAGCAGATTTCCATACCTATTTGTTGTCATTCAGCAATTGCCCAGATTTTTGTTGCCTAACTAGGACAGTTCTAATATTGAGACTCTTTGACAGATAAATTCATCTGATAAAATAGTATCGTAATCTGGCATCAAAAGAAATTTTGGCATTTTAACTGGCATGTTTGACTTGATGAAAACATTTGAGAAATATTGACCCTATCGTTTAACAATTGTTTTTCTCTTCAGCTATTTCAACATATTAGCCTTAAACTTTTATGTGTTTAATATCTCTGCATTACTATAAACAAATTTGGTGCAGTATAAACTTTTTAAAAATTTTAAAATGTACATAAACATTTTAAAAATAAAAATTAACATTTTTTTGGTTAACAATGTACAGTAATTTATTTAAGTTGCATGTCTGAAATGCATTGAAGATGCAACACAAGGAATTGTAAGCTAACAATTTATTACAGTAAATTAGTGATCTTCATATTTTACCAACCTAAGATTTTACCAACTTCTCTATATTTAAGGTGTGTTACCTACTGTTAAAAAAGGAAGAGTAGAATTGTTCTCCATTGCATTGCTGAAAGGTACATTAATTATGTGCAACTCAAGTAAACCATTTTTTGAGCAAATCACATTTGTTTTTAACCACTATTCAGTAAAACTTTTAAAATGCTAGCAGGCATAAACTTGTCTTGATTCTTATTTTAGTCAGAATGTTTTGAAGTTATTACAGGTAATCTTCAATCAATTGGAACTGGGAACTCCATTGTTACATGACATGATAGTTAAGAATGACATGATCAGATTATTTAGTAATGGCAAGTTCAACAACTCCAATTGCTGTTTTAAATGAGGACTTCACGTAATTGCGACTTCTGATCTCCTGCCAGATTTCCAATTGACTTTGCTTGTAAAAAGCTGGCAAAGTACACATCAGAAATTTAATCACATGACTATGACTCAATGTGATGTAATCATGATCCCCGTGCAAACATCCAGATCCTGTGATGACTGGAGCTCTGAGGACTCATCAGAAGTCCCCTTTGAAAATTTGAATGGTTGCTAAATGAATAGTTGTAATCAAAGGATTACCATGCTGGAGTGGAATCCTTCTACTTCTATTTCTTTGATACCCTAAGCATAACTCTGTATATGACCTCCAATATTCTTAATTGCTGTAGATAAATTTCCTTTCAAGCTTTATACATTCCATAAATTAGTCATCTGCTTAAAAATAAAATACAAAGCTGTGTTGCAAAATAAATAGAACTGATTCCAGAAGAACAGCCTAACATAAAAGGACACTTATAGAACACAACTGAATGATAAACAGAAAAAATGAACTTTCTTAGAAAGCAAAATACAATACACATCGAGAAGGCTAAGCTTCAATATTTTAAACATTGGTTTTAATATTTTACAAATAAAGGGATCAATACAAAGTCCACAATATGTTATTAACAATTGTATTCACATATACTTGACTTGGATATCAGTGAAACTCAAATATTGCAAAGTGAGACGGTAAAATGGACAAATGGAAATTATTAAAAGAAAATGAAAGTCCCGACTTCCGGTTTGTCATCACGGCCGCTGCAGATACTGGAAGGTGAGCTCCATCTTCTGTGTTCGATTTCGTACCGCTGGGGGACCCTGGAAAGGGTCGAAAGTTGCCCTGTAGGGGTGACAAGCGAGGGAATCCCCGCTTGATTGCGGGAGGGCAGTAGCCTGTTTGCTTGATCTGGGGTAGCCCTCCAAACTGGCGGATGAAAGACCGGCCATAGAAATATGGCCTGTCACTAGGCTGCAGACAGCCGAAGTCAAACATACCACCAGGCACTTCTAAAGCAGCGCGGATGAGACTGGGTGAGATCTGAACCTCTCTTCAATCCTAATTATCTTTTTTACCAGTATAAGCTGCCCAAAGTATTTTCCCCCCTGTGGAGAGAGGAAAGGGAAATCCTATCCCACCCTCTAAGAGCAGCGGTGACTGACTATCCAGGGGAGTTTAAAATGTTGAAAGACTAACCTTATTTTAACTGGATTTATATGTTTCTAAAATTTGGGGACCAAAAGATTTCTTATCCCTTTTGAAGATTTGGGTTTTTACTTACAAAAAAGAAGTAAAATTGGAAAAAGAATTATAAAAATTTTGGACTTAAAAAACCTTATAACGGCATTAGTGACATCTTGTGGCTAAATCTGATACTACAACCTGTTATTGTCTAAAAGAGACCTGGCTTGAAGCCCAGACTACAGATAAAACTTTAACCTTGGCAGATATCAGCTGTGAGAAGCTCAGCTGTGTTCTATACCTAGTGATAAAATTATTTTCATCCCCTGATTGTAAAGCTTTTAATTTAATACACCACTAAGAGAATATGGATGAAGATCATCAACTACGCAGAACACAATAGAAAAAGTGGAACAATCAAACATGATTGAAGATTTAATGGACCAACACACACAGTTAATGGA